GGTCGACACACACACACACACACACACACACACACACACACACACACACACACACAATTTAGACCCTCTTTTGGAACTCATTTGATCTAACAGAAAATAAACTTTTTTAAACAAATGGCACAGATAACTGGGTTGCTCCTGCTATTAGATCTTGGAATTCAAGTATCCAGGACAGTGCCAGTCCTCCTCAGTTGAGGGCTCTTGCAGTTTCTGTCAATCTGCCAGAGTTTGGCACCTTCATGGCACCGCTTACCTATTCATTCAGGCTTTTAGCTAGCCACCTGCCACTGCAGCAAGGGGACTCTACTGCCTTTTATGAAGCTACGCAAGTGGATGACTCATTTATTTGAATGGATCCATTTGTAAATCAAGTGAGAGATGTTCAGGTACCACAGCAGCACGGCTATAAACTCAGCAAGCCCTGAAAACTCGGACTCAAGGAAGGACTTTGTATGCTGAACAAAATAGTAGTTCTGGAGGTTTTCTTTTGCTCTTGGAGACACAGAAGCAGAACACAAAAGCTTACGTAATGTTGTCCCGCACCGAACACAATGGGGGCCCCATAAATTGTTACACGAATACATTATTTAGATTTTCAGCCACAAATATAAACCTTCAAACATCAGGATATTAAAAAGTTAAGCCCCAGAACAAAGTTAGCTCAGGCATGTTGGACACAGCTTGTATTAGTACCCTTTTTTTTTTTTAAATGTGCATCTTAATGTATTCAGGGTTCAACACATATCACTAAAAAGAAAGGCTCTGGAGTGTGCCCCAGTTACTGTCATTTCAAGAACCTCCGTTTCCAATCTTATACCATGATCAGTTTTTACATATTAATATTCATATATCAGGTATCATTTCAAGAAGTCTATACACTGTCAAAAGCCATCTGCTCCACTGGCAGCCTCCTCTCTTTATATGAGCACAAAAGCTGCACACAAGCACCAGGGCCGGATTAACTTTTTGTGGGCCGGGCGCCAGACATATTTGTGGGCCCCCATTGGGGAAATAGGGCATGTGATGGGGGGTGGTCCGCAGAGCGAGGGGCCGGTTGGGGGCAATGAGACACAGCACAGCAGGAGTGGCCCCACTCAGCCCAGCACAAGGGCACTATTTACAAACCCCAAACTGTTAGACACACACTGGCCTGCCCAGCCCTGCGGTGCCAGCGTGCCCCTTCCACACTGCCCCCTGCCCAGTGCCCTGCTCTTATGCCAGTGCCCCCTTACCCAGAGACTTCCCTCACAGATCCCTATGCCCAGCACCCCCTGCCTAGAGACCCCTCCCGCTGACATCCCACCACAACTACAACCCTGCACACCATACCCCCTGTCCAGCTCCCCCACCAACAGATCCCCTACTGTCCAGCACCCCCTTCACAGTCCCACCATCACAGCTGCACAGTGCCCCATATTCCTGAGGGAATTCTGCATCAAATTCTGTGCATAATATTTTAAAATTCTGATTTTTTTTTTATAATAAATAAATGTGGAAGCTCCACCATAGCAGTGGGGAGCACAGGCCACTGGCTGCCTGGAGGTGGGAGATCACCCTGCAGCCTCCCCTACCCCCCTGGGACAGGGACTTGACAGTGAAACTGAACCTGTCCCTGACACAGCACAAGGGCCAGGCCTGCCACAGAAACACCCTGGGGCCCTGCCCCTTTTGCACCAGGCACACCAGATGTGGGCAGGGAGGCTCAGCCCAGCAGCAGGATCCAAGTGCAGAGGGACTTAGTGTGGGGGTATCCAGATGGGGGTAAGAGGGTTCGGGGGGGGGCAGTCTGGGTGCAGGCAGCTCAGTGGGGGATCTGGATGCACAGGGAGGTGCCAGGTGCAGGGGCAATGGGAATCTGCAGGGGGGGGAGAGTCTGGGTACAGGGGAGGTGGGGTTGTTGTACTTAAAGTACTGCACAGGATCTTTTCAGGGGAAATAAGGCAAACGCCACATTCATTGGTAATACATGCATCAATCAACACTGTATCATATGCATATGATCTATATTACACTCATGCACTCACATACACACACACGCACACACAAACACACTCCGTCTTGTTGTTACCAACTAGTTGCTCCCCTTAACTTCACTGGCCAGGTGAGTTAGATGGGGAGGGGTGGAGCCGGGCATCTGCCGATCTGGATCAATGCTCCGATGTTGACAAGACCCAGGGTCCTCTGCAAGACACCTCACATTTACCAGATTCAAAATCTGTGTCCGTTGGTCCTTTGTGCTGCTTCCTTCTGAGTGTTGTCCCAATACTGTTCAAAGAGGGTGTTTCCAAAAGAAGGTGCTTGATTCTAACCCCCCCGCCCCCTCACGAGGCTGTCAATATGTCTGCTCTTCTTTAGTGAGCCCACTTGACAAGTTTGATTGTCCTTGGGTCTGGCTTCCATCCCCTCTCCAACTAGCTGTCTGGAGGTGCTTGCCTTCCATGCCTTGCTCATTCACACCTCATTCATTCAACAGGGCAATTGATTAAGGGAATGTGGGGAGGGGGAATCTTATTCTACTCCTAGCAAAAAGACATTTTTCTTCTACTTTAACTATCCTTAGGGGCTATAACATTACATCAAGGCTTAACACAAAGTTTTCTATAAGTTTTTCTACATAGGGATCTGATACAAAGTTCCTATATCAAAGGACTTGATACAACGTTGTATGAAAATAGCTTAATACAGGGTTATATGAAGAGGCATAATACAAAGTCATATGAAAGTTATGTGAAGGTGCTTAATACAGAGATTTATCTACAGGGTTCATTTGGGTGGGGGTGTAGGTGGTTGGGGCTCAGTGGGAAGGGTGTCTGGGGGGGGCTCATTGGGGTGGTACAGATGCAGGGGAGGTGGGGCTTGTCAGGGTGAGGGTTTGATGGGCCTGCTTAACAGGGGAGCCCCAGCTGCTGCCAAGGGGATCCGCATGCTGGGCCCCCGTTTCCCCTATCCCAGGGATTGGTAACCATCGGCACGTGGCCCACCAGGATAAGCCCCTGGCGAGCCGGGCCGGTTTGTTTACTTGCTGCATCCACAGGTTCGGCCGATTGCGGCTCCCACTGGCCATGGTTTGCCGCTCCAGGCCAATGGGGGCTGCGAGAAGCTGCGGCCAGCACATCCCTCGTCCTGCAGCTCCCCATTTGCCTGGAGCCGCGATCGGCCAAACCTGCAGACACGGCAGGTAAACAAACTGGCCCGGCCCACCAAGGGGCTTACCCTGGCGTGCCGCATGCCGAAGGTTGCCAATCCCTGCCCTATCCCCTTCTCGTCCCCATCCCATGCCCCTTCCCCACCACTCCATCTCCTCCCCATCCCACCCCCTTCCTTCCTCACTGCCTCTGTCCCCATCCCCTGCCTGCCCCACCATGGGCAATCACTGTTGTACAAGATGAAGGATGGCTCCGAGCACACAGAAGGGAGCTCGACCAGCACTAGCACCCAGAAGGTGGTGTCCAACTGCAAAGTCCCGGGAGCTGAGCAGCACCTTCTTTTTTCAGCCTGGCTGTGCAGCTCTGTAGTCAGAGTAGGTATGCTCGTTCCACCCCCTCCCCAAGACCCCAGCCCCGCCTTTTCTCTGCCTCCTCTCCCCAGGTGAGCATGCTGTGGCTGTGCTCCTCCCCCACCCTCCTGCTGGCAAACAGCTGATCGGCGGCAGAGAGGGGGAGGGCGGGAAGGGAGCAAGCTGTGAGAAGAGGCAGGGGAGGGGGAGCTTGGCTGCCCTACTGCAGCAGGAGCCTCACTGCCAGGAGCACCAAGCTTCTGCCCCCCGCAGGAGAGAGTGGGGGGCAGAGAAGAGTGGGCCTGGTTGGGTCCCCCCGGGAGTGTGGGCCTGGCTCCATGGCGCCAGTGGCTCCATGGTAAATCCGCTACTGGCAAGCACTTTCCAAAGGTACTGATATTTGCACTTGTTGCAATTGAGTATCACACTGCCACCTATAGGCAGTCTGAGGAGGACTGTCAACATGGGTTGTTGACAACAAAAAGTGTAAGATTAGATAAAAATGAGAAGTTGTTTCTCACTTACCTGCAGTAAAAACCTTTGTGATTCCTACCAGCAAGGTACACAACTGCAACTTCAAAGGCAAAAATAAACTCAAATGGCCGACAGTCACGCATCCGAAGAAGTGAGGTTTTTACTCACGAAAGCTTATGCCCAAATAAATCTGTTAGTCTTTAAGGTGCCACCAGACTCCTTGTTGTTTTTGTAGATACAGACTAACACGGCTACCCCCTGATACTAGTCACGCATTAAGCATTACAGATGTAAAGTTACATCTATTTCAATCCTGCTTTCAATTTTAACAGGCTGAGGAATAGAAGAACACCCACTCAACCAGTCCATTTCCCTTCTAAAGAGTTTGCAGTACATCAGGGAGGTGATTTACTTTTTACTGATTGTGCAGAATGGGATGAAAGGCACAGCAAGGTCATTTCTCCTTTAATAACTTACATCGAGTTTCATCAATGTTAAAAGGTCTTTCTTAGCAGCTTCGAAGATGGCATCAACTTGTTTGCCGGCACAGGAGTCTGGCGCAGCTAAGTCACCCTCTATGTAATGGAAAACCGCAGAGGGAGTTTCTGTCACGGTCACAGTCTTCTTCAATATAGACTTTAAAAAAGCAGAGATGCCAAATGTTATTTTTCATGCTACAATTAGCATCTACCTGGGAAAAAGAAATTGTATTATCATCTATGCTCTCCAACCTACCACAACTGGTGACCTAGAAATACGTAGGAGTTTTTAAAACAAAACAAAACAAAAACTCAACTGCTCACTAAATTAATCATCCTTGATTAAGTCGGTCGTTCTAAAGCAATAATAGGTTTATTCATCTGGCCTCCCAGGAACCTGGAAAGGAGAGAAATAAGATTTCTATCTTTTAAATTTCCCCTTCCCACCCCCCCCAAGTATCTCACAAATTAGGCAGCTGCTGCTATGATGGAATTAAGATTTAATTAAAACAGTAAGACATGCAATTACACATGACAATGGGAGTAACGAATCCAGAGAGATAAATGTCTGTGGAGTCTGGAGAAATATCTCTGAGAAAATTCCAAACCTCACCAAGGACCCGAGGGTAAAACTACTTCTTCATCACAGTTCTCAGAAAGCAGGATCCTGCATAGATTGAGTCTCAGAGGATCTAGCACATACTAGTCAAATACAGGAGCGCTTACACAAAAATCCCAGAGGCTTCTGGCACAAACACACTCCACTCTGATCAGAGACCAGCCTGCTAAGTCACCTATAGTGTGTGGGTAACTCCCAGAAACTCAGGCCTTCCCCTTTTCAGTCTCCAAAACACCATCATCACCTGCACTGCAAAGTGTTTTTGAGATTGGTATCTTCGTTTAATCTGGCCTGAAACCCAAATGCAGAAGGAGGCGGGGATGGCCACAGCCAGATGCAGAACCTAGATTCTAGTGGTTCTTAACCAAGGGTGCACGCACCCCCTGGGGGTGCGAGATGCCCTTTCTGGGCAGATTTTTTTAGAAGGTAAATCATTGAAAACACAAATTAAGCACAGGCATGTAAGTACAACTACTTTGTTTCATCAAACCTATGTATTTATTATTATACATTTTTTAACGATTACTGTAATATACAAACAAAAAATATATCTAGGTTTAAAGAACTGACCTACTTCAACGATTTTTGATAAGGGGTGCGAGAATGTATTTTGAGAACCAAAGGGGTGCAGGCTGCAGTAAAGGTTAAGACCACTTCTAGGTCCTAGATGAACCCTGACTACCAGCTTCTTCTGTGAGGAGCACCTCCTCTCCCAGTTTGCTCACCTCCCTTACATAGAACCACCGCTGCAGCCTCCAGAGTAGGAGGAACCTTTACCAAATACCAATAGTTTCTCCAATACTTTTACCAAAATTTCAGTTCAAACTTTAATTTGAAAAGATGTATAGTCAGTCAGCTGTATACTTTTGCTCTGAATTGAAACCTACAGCTCATGCTCTCACCTGGGCTTTTTAAAAAAAGTTAAAAACAGACAAGTCTTGGAAACAGAAAAGCAGATGAGCAGATTTTATGAGTCACAGGACTGAAAACCCAGTCGAAATCTCACAGGCTGCATGTGGCTTTTGAACTCCTGTTGCTGTGAACCAGTTTTGACAGATAAAACATGATCTGGTAGAAGATTCATCTATTAGAGTAATCACTTGTGATATGCGGGTAACATCCAAGCTAAAATAGCTACAGCATATGCACTATTACTTGTCAAAGCAGTCTCATAAGGACTTTTATCCCATACCTCAGTACCTGAGTCCTTGTTGGGACTAATGAGCCAAAAGAGCCATTAAATTCTATTGAGTAATTACAAGTTTTAAATACACTTACACAAGACAACTGATCTGCTTCTGCAAACATCTGGCTTTACATGAAGACTGGATGCTGACACAACCCTCATGGAGAGGGCCAGAGCTCCATCCACATATGTATAAGTGCATGGTTGCAGAATATTTTATGTGACCACGCAATCCATAAGCACAATCGAATTTCTTATTCAGGTGCATGAGGAGGAACCACATTAAGGGGGAAGGAGGGAAGTGTATCTCTGACCTCATGCAGAGAATATCTACCTTGCTCGCAACAGGACTGGTCGGAGCTTCATCTGGTGTGAAATGCACCCTGGCTCTCTCGTACGCCATATCCAAGTCTGATTTAGTGCCACTGGAGCTACCTGCAAAGACCAGGAAAGAGGGTTTTTTCAAAGCAGTCCCACCACCATGGCTCGGTTAGCCTTCCCTATAGCACCTTGGTCAGTCTTCTCAAGTACGGCAGACACCATATACATCCATAGGCCACTTTTCTTTTTTTATTCTTAAAGTTAAGAATTGCACAGACAGCAAAGAAAATGCGGCCTGATGTTGCAATGTAGCTGGATCATCTTGCAGCTTCTAGAAATTAATATATCCACAAGGGCTGCTATGGGAAGGCTTCACAGACAGCAAGACAAGGAAAATAGCATTAACTTTTTACTCTCTCTGTCAATTTTGCCTTTACTAGAGCAGCATTTTCTCACCAGGCTATCTGGTTTTAGCCTTCTGCACAGACTGTGTGGTTCCATAACAGAACACTTAAAGTGACCTGCAAAACAACCGCCAGAAATTGACATGTGGAGAGAACTTCATTTAATTTTTTATCATTCTGAGCAATTGAAGACAACATTTTAAAAAATATATATATATTTTTTTATTTCTGAGGGTGAGGAGCTATGTGAAAGCTTGGACTGCCCCCAAGTCCATAATGGTCTCCCACCACGCTGAGGAACTCCAGCCCATCCAAGGCAGGGGCATGGGTTATCTCCCCTTTCTCTCTGGCACATCTTTTCCATCTCTTTCATTCTGCCTCTAACAATGAAGCAAACTTGGCGGTTCTGGAAGCCACCAAGCTCCAATGGGGCCATATGGTATTCAGTTATTAACCCCCCATGAAAGACTAGTATTAGCTACCCCAAAAACAGTCACTCCAGCAAAACTTCTATAAGAGCATTAGAAGAGCACCTCAAAGAGAACACGGTCACCTACATGCTTGTGTTATGCCACCAGCTGAACTGCATACATTAAGGCTCTGATCCTGCACAGGATTTAAACTCATGCGTAAAGCTAAGCATGTGTTTAAGTGCTTTGCCAGACAAGGCCTAAAAAAGGAATCCAGCAATGTGGCACATCTTATCACACAGCCATGAGAAGCATCTCATACTTGGCTCTTTCTATTAACATCATAGAGCACAAAGAAAAGGCAGCCCATGGATGAAAGTACTACTCTACTACAATTCTACAAGTCACATCTTCCCACAACCCTTTTTTGTGCCTGGGAACATCCCCTCTCTTAAATTAAACCATCTTGCTGCCAAAGTGGGAATCAGAAAGGATGTAGCAAGCAAATGTTACCTAGAAAACTTAAAGCAAAGGAACAGAAGGACATAGGCAACTGACTGGAGCTTCATCCTTATTGGTCAATACTTGCTCACTGCTGACCCACACAGTTCTGGTATGAAAGTCACTGTGCAAGTGTCAGGATACGGGCACACTTCTGACAATATCTCACTGCTTCTCCCTTCCTGAACACTTATTCACAAGAGCAAAGCCATCACTTACAACCATGCAGCCTCGCTCGTCAGTAGGATTGCACTTCTGTACAACACATAGTTTGTTTTGAGGAAGGAAAATCTAGTCTTCATTTTGTCACCCGCAAGCAGAGAGTTGCTATTTTACTTTCACAATTGCTTATTCTATAAAACACTTAGAATAAGGACACTAGTTACTGAAAAGTGATGATAATACTTTGTACTTTGACAGCTCCATCCATCATGGGATCTCAAGTGGTTCACCTGTTTCTGTTGTCCTTAAATCCAGATCCTCTATATGACATACTTGCCTGTCTGTCCTCTGGAGAGGATTAAGGATGTGAATCTGACTTTCAACAACAGGTTGGGGGGGCGGGGAGATGATACATATATGTGTCAATCCATTTTGCTATGTTCTTTATACATGACCTAATTTGAGAATTGGGAGCAGAGTATGCTCTGCACCCCAGAAATACAGGGAACTGGGGTAGCGAAAAGAAAAATGGTTTTCACAGATTTGGCTGCTTCTAAAGTTATTCCCACAGATTGCTGAGACCTGTCAATTCTCACCAGCTAAGCAAGATAAAGGATGGTGGGAAACCCTTTGTGTGATACTGATCATCTAATAGGCACCAGTCTTTTCTCTGAATCACCAATTGACATTCCAACATGGTCTGTGGTCAATATGCTGCTGGGATAAAATGTAAAATCCAAGGTCTTGATCACTTGTCATTATTAAAGATCTCATGGCACTTTTTGTGTGAGTAAAGCAATGACAGTAGCCACAGTACCATGGGCAAAGAGCAACTACACTTATTACATTCTGCCTCACTCAGTTTCCAGTCACTGTCTAGAGTTCCTCTTCTCCAATTCCATCCTAGACCCTCTCTAAACTGGCTTCTGTTCCTGCACTCAACTGAAACCGCTCTCAAAGTCTCCAATGACCTCGCAGCCAACTCTCAGAACCAGTAATCCATCCTCATCCTCCTTGACCTTTCAGATGTCTTGGACACAGTCGACCATTCTCCTGTCCTTGAAATCTTGCTCCACCTTGGCTTTTATTACTCTGTTCTCTCTTGATTCTCTTCCTAACTCCCTAATCACTCCTTCAGCATATGCTTCAGAGGATCTTTCTCATCCCTCCCTCCAGCTTTCTGTGGTGGTTCCATAGGACCAAAGGATCCTCTTCTCCCTCTACAGCTTATCTCTGGGTAATCTCATCCCCAAACAAATTCAACTACCATCTTTATGCAAATGACTCACAGATCTACCTGTCTACTCCAGACCTGTCTCCTTCTGTCCACATTAAAATCTCAGTCTGTCTCTGACATCTCCTCATGCCTGGCTAGCTGTCAGCTCAACCTCAACATGGCTAAAAACACAGCTCTTAATTGTCTCTCTCCACTCCCCCAAAAATAAATTCACCCCCCTTCCCCACCTCTTTTCTTGATCCCTGTGGAGCACACCACCATCCTCAAGCCTGTAATCTGGGTCTCCTCTTTGACTCAGACCTCTCTGTAGGTCCTCACATCCAAGCTATGCCTATGTCTTGCAGATTCTTTTTGCATAACATCTTTAAAATACAGCCTTTCCTACCCATCTGCGCAGCTAAAACTCTCTCCAGGCTCTCATCATCTTGCATCTTGATTACTGCAACATCCTTTTCTCTGGTCTTCACAAATACAATTTTGCCTCGCTCATATCCATTGAGAATGCTACTGCAAAGATCATTTTCCAACCTCATGTTACCATTTTCTTTGCATCCCTTCACTAGCTCCCTCTTGTCTATTGTATCAAACATAAGCTACTTGTCATCTTCCCAACCTGTCCCCACCCTACCTATCATCTCTCATTCGCCCACGGATTAAATTTTCAAAACAAGGCACTAGAGAAATGTAAGGGCACTAATAATATGCTGCAGGGCTAGACTGACTGTTCTCACTGGTCCACTGGGATTTTGCACAAGATAAATACTGCATTCTGAAACGCAGCTAAGTATTCTTTTGATTTGCCACAGAATTTCATTTTGATAGTATATTTTACAGAGCACAGTGAAAAGACAACTAAGACAGAATCATAGGGAAATGAACCCAGGTCTTGTATAAAGTGCTTTTAAATATTTTCCCTTCACTCAGTCCCATAATGCAGCAGAGAAAGTCCATGCTATATAAAGTGACAGTGGATGCTCTCTGAGAAAAGAGCTCTTATTTCCTCTGCAGACAAATATTAGAGTGTTATTTCAGATCAATAAGGGTGTGGAACTAAGGGAAGTGGGTTACCTTACATCGTCCCCCTCCATAATAATTAGATATTTTGTATTTCCTGCAATTTTCCCCAGCCCCTGCTCACCAAGAGCCTCTGCTGATCCAGAAGGGGATGTCAAAGAAACTCTTCTTTTGAGAAGGTTCTCAGAATTCTCTGTACCTGAAGTCTTCACTGTGTCTGACATTTAAGAACAGAATAAAGGTTATCACAGATTTAAACATGTAGTACACCCCAACAAAACGAAGTACGAAGAACAGGTGCCTTCACCCACACAATGTACATACTGTGCAATGTCTAAACATATCACCTTAGGATTTGATTTTATTAACAAGTAAGTCAAAAGGAAGAACAAAATTCAGCTCAAACCATCTCACCAGGCTTGGCTCCTCTGAAGGTTATTCCTTCCAGACTGCAGCATCCACACTCTAGATCCTTCCTCAATTTGGAGAGTCAATTCCACTTCCCTCATATTTTGGTGAGTTAATCAACGACCTGCCCCAGTGACAGCCCTGGATTTTAGGTATTAAACTGGAACTCAGGGAACCTGAGTTCAATTCTTGGCACAGCCCTCCAGTGTAACTATGGGCAAGTCTGCTTGGGCCTCAATTCCCCCATCTGTGAAAGGAGAACAATACCACTGCCATACCTCAGAGAGGGCACTGAGGATAAATTCAGCAATGTTTGTGTTACACTCAAATACTATAATGATGGGGGTCACAAAAGTACAGCGACAAATGGCAGAACCCCATTCAATATTACCTGCTAATTGGGCAAGCTGTTTCAGGCGCTGAAGAATATAGAAATTAAGAGGAGGTTACTCATCTGTACAGTAAAAAATGGTTACTCACCCTTTTTTGTAACTGTTGTTCTTTGAGATGTGTTGCTCATATCTATTCCAGTTAGGTGTGTGCGCGCACCGCGTGCACGGCTGTCAGAAACTTTTCCCTTGCAGCTACCTGTTGGGCCGGCTGTGGAGCCCCCTGGAGTGGCACCAGTATGACGCTCTATATACGACCCTGCCGGCCTGACCCCCCTTCAGTTCCTTCTTGCCGGCTACTCCGACAGAGGGGAAGGTGGGGGGGAATGGAATAGATATGAGCAACACATCTCAAAGAACAAGAGTTACAAAAATGGTGAGTAACCATTTTTTCTTCTTAGAGTGCTTGCTCATATCAATTCCAGACAGGTGACCTCCAAGCCTTACCGTGGAGGTGGGGTCGGAGTCAAGGTATTGCAGATAGAAAAACCACTCTGCCGAAGGCCGCATCGTCCTGAGATTGGTGGACGATGGCATAGTGTGATATAAAGGTGTGCACTGAAGACCACGTGGCAGCCCTGCAGATTTCCTGAAGAGGTACGTGGGCCAGGAAGGCTGTCGACGAGGCTTGAGCCCTCATGGAGTAATAGTAGGCGGAAGAACCGTCACCAAGTCATAACAAGTGCAATGATATCCGCTAGGAAGATACTGGCAAACCTTTCATCCGCTTTGCTAAAGTGACGAACAACTGGGTTGTTTTGCGGAACTGCTTAGTTCAGTCTATATAGAAGGCGAGAACCCTTCTAACGTCCAGCGAATGCAGCTACTGTGCGCTTTTGGTTAGACATGACTAACATGGAAGCAGGACACGACCTTGGGAAGAAAGGCCGGGTGAGGTCTAAGCTACACCTTGTCCTTATGAAAAATCGTGTATGGAGGCTCAGTCGTGAGGGCCCGCAACTCAGACACGTGTCATGCCAAGGTGATGGCCACCAAAAAAGCAACCTTCCAAGAAAGGTAGAGGAGCGAACAGGAAGCTAACTGTTCAAAGGAAGGACCCATGAGGCGAGAAAAGACTAAATTAAGGTCCCAGGCCGGAACAGGGGGCTTCATCGGGGGATGAATCTTTTCCAAACCTTTCACGAAACGTCCCACGATGGGGTGCGCAAACACTAAGCGCCTGGAAACACTGGGATGAAAAGCCGATATAGCTGCGAGATGGACCTTGAGAGAACCAAATGCCAGGCACTGGTCTTTCAAGTGCAGGAGATAATCCAGGATACACAGGATTGAAGCCTGGAGTGGAAGCACCTGCCTTTGGGCACACCAGATAGAAAACCTCTTCCATTTTGCTTTTTAAGTGGCTCTGGTGGACGGCTTGCAGCTCTCCAGAAGCACCTGCCTCACTGAGTCCGAACAGGCAAGTTCTGCCTGGTTCAACCACGAATCTTCCAGGCCATGAGGTGGAGCAACCGAAGGTCCAGGTGAAGGAGGCGGCCATGATTCTGCAAGATGAGGTCGGGAACGAGAGGCAGACATACTGGGGACGGGACTGGACCGACAGGTCCAGGGGGGTGGGGTACCAGCACTGGTGAGACCAAGCTGGAGCAACCAGTATGGCATCTGCCCTGTCCCTGCAGACTTTGAGAAGCACCTTGTGGATGAGTGGAAATGGTGGGAAGGCATATAGCAGTTGACCGGACCATGGAATCAGAAACACATCTGCGATCGAGCCCAGGCTGTGATCCCCGGAAGGAGCAGAAGGTTGGATACTTCCTGTTGGCCCACGTGGCGAACAGGTCAATTTGGGAAAATCCCCAAATGAGGAATATTGAGTGGATGATGTTCAGATGAATTGACCACTCGTGCGTAAGGAACTGTCTGCTCAGGCTGTCCGCCAGCACGTTCAGAATGCCCGGCAGGTATGAAGCTTAGAGAAGGATGGAATGGGCAAGACAAAATTCCCACAGTAGGAGGGATTCCTGACAGAGAGGAGACGATCGGGCTCTGCCTTGCCTGTTTATATAAAACATGGCCATGGTATTGTCCTTGATCACTGCTACACAGTGACCTTGCAAGCGGGGCAGAAACACTTGGCACTCAAGGCGGACCGCCCTGAGCTCTTTGATGTTGATATGCAGAGCCAGTTCCTCTACTTGCCATAAGCCCTGAGTTGTCAGGCTTCCGAGATGCGCTCCCCAACCCAGCGCAGATGCATCCATTACCAGAGTCAAGGTGGGTTGGGGAGGGTGAAAAGGGACCCCGGCACTCACCATGTGGTGGTCAAGCCACCATCGCAGGGAATCGAGGGTATGCCTTGGAACGGTCAGCACCATGTCCAGATTGTCGCAGACCGGACGATACACGAACGCAAGCCATGCTTGCAAAGGCCCAAGTCACAATTGGCATGCAGAACACCATGTGGCCCAGCAGTCTGAGGCACTGCCTCGCCGTGGTGGTGAGAAAACTGCAAAGGCTGCTGATTATCAGTGAGAGGGCCAGACGCTGCACCTCTGGGAGGAATGCTCTGGCTTGATTGGTATCGAGAACTGCCCCGATGAACTCTAGTCTCCGAGTCGGGGTGAGGACGGATTTGCTGACGTCGAGAATGATGCTTAGGCGTTCAAACGTGTCTCTCACCATTTGCAGCTGCAATTCTACCTGCTGACAAGAGCGGCCTCAGAGGAGCCAGTCATCCAGGTAAGGGTAGATATGCACATGATGGCGGCGAAGGAAGGCTGCCATGGCCGCCATGCACTTGGTGAAGACGCAAGGAGCCATGCATAGACCGAATGGGAGAGCCATGAATTGATAATGCACCTTGTTTATCACGAAGTGGAGGAATCGTCTGTGAGATCGGGTGATAGACATGTGAAAATAGGTGTTCTCCATATCGAGGGTGGCATACCAGTCTCCTGGATCCAGAGGGGAATGATTGTGCTCAAGGAGACCATGCAGAACTTCAGACTGTCGATGAACTTGTTGAGTTCCCTTAGGTCCAGAATTGGCCTCAGGCTCCCTTTGCTTTGGGGACGAGGAAGTAACGGGAGTAGAAACCCTTGCCTTGGAGCTCCTGGGGCACCTCCTCCACTGCTCCTAGAGCAAGGAGGGTTTGAACCTCCTGGATGAGAAGTTGCTCATGAGAGGGGTCACTGAAAAGGGACGGGCAAGGGGGATGGGAAGGAGCAGAAGTGGATAGAATATCCCGCTTGTAGTGTACATCGGTATGATGTAATAAGGGACCATGCACAGTAGAACATAACATAAGAACATAAGAATGGCCGTACTGGGTCAGGCCAAAGGTTCATCTAGCCCAGTATCCTGTCTACTGACAGTGGCCAATGCCAGGTGCCCCAGAGGGAGTGAACCCAGCAGGCAATGATCAAGTGATCTCTCTCCTGCCATCCATCTCCACCCTCTGACAAACAGAGGCTAGGAACATCCTTCCTTACTCATCCTGGCTAATATCCATTAACGGACTTAACCTCCATGAATTTATCCAGTTCTCTTTTAAATGCTGTTATAGTCCTAGCCTTCACAACCTCCTCAGGTAAGGAGTTCCACAAGTTGACTGTGTGCTGTGTGAAGAAGAACTTCCTTTTATTTGTTTTAAACCTGCTGCCTATTAATTTCATTTGGTGACCCCTAGTTCTTGTATTATGGGAATAAGTAAATAACTTTTCCTTATTTACTTTCTCTACATCACTCATGATTTTATATACCTCTATCATATCCCCCCTTAGTCTCCTCTTTTCCAAGCTGAAAAGTCCTAGCCTCTTTAATCTCTCCTCATATGGGACCCGTTCCAAACCCCTAATCCTTTTAGTTGCCCTTCTCAGAACCTTTTCTAATGTCAGTATATCTTTTTTGAGATGAGGAGACCACATCTGTGCGCAGTATTCAAGATGTGGGCGTACCATGGATTTATATAAGGGCAATAAGATCCTCTCCATCTTATTTTCTATCCCCTTTTTAATGATTCCTAACATCCTGTTTGCTTTTTTGACCACTGCTACACACTGCGTGGACGTCTTCAGCAAACTATCCATGATGACTCCGAGATCTTTTTTCCTGATTTGTTGTAGCTAAATTAGCCCCCCATCATATTGTATGTATAGTTGGGGTTATTTCTTCCAATGTGCATTACTTTACATTTATCCACATCACATTTCATTTGCCATTTTGTTGCCCAATCACTTAGTTTTGTGAGATCTTTTTGAAGTTCTTCACAGTCTGCTTTGGTCCTAACTATCTTGAGCAGTTTAGTATCATCAGCAAACTTTGCTACCTCACTTTTTACCCCTTTCTCTAGAGCATTTATGAATAAGTTGAATACGATTGGTCCTAGAACTGACCCTTGGGGGACACCACTTGTTACCCCTCTCCATTCTGAAAATTTACCATTTATTCCTACCCTTTG